GTTTGTTAACAAGCTGTAATAGCATTTACATGCTTCAGCGACATAGTCTTGTTTAAACATCAAGCTCTAGCAAATATGACCTGTAAATAGCGTAAATATACATTGACTAACAATGCGATCAAGGACTAAATAGTTATCTGGATCTAATTCTTGGTGTTCCTTCAACTCATCATGTTCTAATCTATGCACTATCCTGTAATATCTTTTCTTCCGACCACTGCCTGCCTAATTTCATATTTTCGAGTTCCATTGCCAAACAACAAGGATGACACTTCTCCAAAAACATACGGTGAGTTTCAGCTATAAGTTTTCTGCAATCATAAAGTCATTTTAGATGACTCGTTCAATAACAACCACACAATTAACTGAATTCATTCGATTGTTCTAATCCGAGCGAGTGGCAGAAACGTCAACACCATCAAGCACCCTGGAATTAATTGCCATACTGCATGTTTTATTCTGGATACTTTTGGATCATTACTACTCCTTACGAATGGCGTTATATATGTCGTCCACTGAATAATATAATTTTCAAAAATAATCCAGGGGAGTTTAACTATTTTACTGGACGATTTTTTTTGTACTTAACATGTATATGTTTTCCAGTTGTTTTTGCCATATATTTGTCAGTGTCTCTAGGCTAAATGCAGGAATTTCTCATGGAAAGTTTATAATGCGTTACATCCCTGCTTGAAGTTTCATAAGCAGTCTTGACTTTAAAACTACTTTTCCTGATCATGTTCATTATTTTTAAATTGTCATATACGTCAAGAACCTGCATGTTAACCTGACCCACATACGCGTTGCACTATATCTTCATGTCTTCTAAATTTAGAAATCTTCTGAATCACCTTTAACATTTATCAATAAACCCATCATAGTCGTTGTTGCTAATCGTATTTGGGTTTATGAATTGGTTTATCATATTACCAGCCTAAAATGCGAACATAGTTTAGATAATAAGATTAAAAATTTAGGTACTGTCAACTGCACTAATAAAATAACTAAATCCCCAGGTAGCTGTTGGCTAAACAAACGTTTAAAATCAAAACTCCGTAGCCTACTAAAATTAACACTAAACGAATATTTCTGAATTGAAATTTATAATTAAATTAGGCGTCTCGGATTCTTTAACGTTATAAGTTTCTGATGATTTCGAATCACCTAAAGCAACAATACCTATTTTTTCCACTGACTAATCCTCAATCAACACTATAACTAGTTAAACGTAATAGTTTCAGAATATCGTCATAAAGCATTGTCATAACTTGACAATCACGTAATATGATTGATAAAATTAATGAAATTATTAACAAAATCGGTCAGCAAATTGACTTATAATTATCACTAGTGTTGTTTTTCTTTTATCTTCATTCACTACAGATGATTACAGTATGTTTCTCTATCAGATGCTCACTCAGTAAATATCTCGAAACCTTGTCAGTCTAATTGATGGTTTAGCGACACAATCATGCATGCAAATAATCAGTATAAGCAGTCGAGCAAATCTCCTGCAAACTGAAAACATCAATGTCGAATTTACCCCAACACTGACTAAGGTTCAAGCCATCATCATAGACATGAGTTAGGAGTGTACTCCCCTTGGTTACAACTTATGTTCTCCCTGATAATCACATGAGCATCACTCACTATTAATCATCTTGTAAAAACCTATTTTGCCAAATACATCTTGCAGCACCACACCACTTAGTAATATGACACATAAGCCTAACTGATTTTAATAACTTATAACCACTATATCTCAATTAAATCGTATTCCGCCTTATGATAAACTGCATACTTGCAACTAACCTGTATGCCCAATCAGTCAGCAAGTATAAATATAAATAAATAGTCTGCCGCAGATCAGAACATTGAGTCTAGAGCATGTCTCTTACGAATACACTCATGTTTAACGATTTGTTCCTAGCTATCTGTCCAAAATTCATATAATTATCATTCATGCATTTAAATTTTGTTTGGATAACCATTCATGTGTATTAGTAGTATTACTAAATTCTATCACGGTCAAGTAAAAATGAGGTTGAGAAAATCTCCCCGTAACTAAATAAACCGTATCAAACTAACAGGAACACTAGTTGGAATTCTTCTCCACGTTAATACTTTTGTTCTTTCAGTTAGCCTACTAATACAGATGCAATTGGAAATCACATATGGACAGGTTACCGGCATAATTGTAAATTGATTTCATAATCTAAACCAAAACTAATACCAATATTAACATTTCTACAATATTGATTACTTTAATATTTCTAAACACAACATACTTACTACCTATACGTTAAATTATTACCCAACGGCTATTAACACGCATTGTTTTATCATTATTACTGTAATCCCATTTTTTATAGCTCAAATAATCTTTACCCAAATTGTCATTTTAAGCGTGTTAAGCATGAAGGCAGATTTTTTTTAAAATTATTACATGTATTTCCCGACCAGATGCTGCCGCCTTCTTTTTGATTTATCTTTCAGCTTATCAATACCCGAAGGATCCTTATTGTCCTCGGTAACCTCCGGCGCGCGACGATCCCATCCAATTTGGTATCGAACCAACATCACGTTGATTCTGGTGGGAGAGTAGTGTAGTGGCATTGGACAATAGCCACACAATCCACAAAGCTGTGAACACAAGACTACTCAGAAAATAGATATTCAATATTTAACGCGGATAAATACCTACCAATGGAGAAGGCGCGAACAATGAATGGAATAAACTGGAGTTGATCGAGTGGCATGGCTCGGCCATGCAGGCGTGGTCTCTATTCATATTAAATATATTGTTCCTTCTCTAACTTAACCTTGTCCTTCATCATGTATTGGTAATTGATACGATACAGTGAGTTGGCGTAGTCGATGGTGTGACTTCCACGTAAGATCTTATAGATTAGGCAGTTATATCATGACGAATCTACAAATTTAGGATTAGGTCTATTATTAGAGCAGTACTAATATCGTAGTAGACCATAATTCTACAACCTCACCAATAGACCCGCGAATGGAATGAAGTTAGACATTTACACCGATGGGTGCTGACTCAATGATCGAAAGGTTAAGCATTCGCACTTGAAACTGAAGGTTCCGGGTTCGATTGGCCCCTGGGGGATCGTGAGTGCGTGCTTCCGAGGAGTCTTATACTAGGACGAAACATCCGTCCAGTGTTTCCGTGTTTTCAATGGTGGTCTAACTCAGAACGATCCATAATTTTAAGATATTTTGGCTACATACAAAATTATTCTAAATCTTGTGTTTAAAGACAAATCCCAAATATTGATTTAGTTGGAAAAAGGCAAACTGGAAAATCTGAATAAATCTTTTGCGTTTACTTTGAGGTTTGCGAGTCCTAGGCTCAATTTCCAATGGGATTCTGGATATCTCTTGTTGACAAGATCGACCATTGAACGAAACACACCTATCCTATTTCCCTAACTTACGCTGGTCCTCTGAATGATATAAGTCTGTGATTACTATTTTCCTTTTGTGAAGTAACATTCAAGTTTGCTAATCAAAAGTCCGAAAAAATTACTTAGTTTCGTATTTATTTTCATATCACCTTGTAATAGTTGACAGTTCTATTGGTTTTCTAGGACGTGATGTAGAAACGTGTTTACTGGCAGCTCAATCTATCTGGAATTTAAATTTACACTATGAATTAGACTATTTCTGTCCATCATTAAAGTTTAACCTAAAAGTAAGTCGAACATTGTTAGCTCTAATTATTATGATTTTTAATTCATTATTAACTAATGTATAATAGTCATTTTCAAGATTGTTAGGTCCCGATAAACATAATGAATGGTAACTTTGGGATCCTTTTATGGACCAATACTAAAAGTATATTTTTATTGTTAAGTAACCAAACTATTCATATTGCAGAGGCTGAGACTGGTGTTCTGGACTTAACTGGCTGGGCTAGGAGGAAAGCAGGACCAATCAGGGCTCTAGGCTTCTCGAAAGTGTTTTACGCGTCCTTGGTCCGATCGATAATTCGCTGCTTCTGATTGGCGGCTTTGGGCTATAACAAAGACGAACTACTGAGAAGTAGAATGTACCAAACAACCGTTTCGGTGTAGATTCTGAATGAACTCCTTCACGTTCTTACAGAATAAATAGCTTTATACATTTTAAATATTTTGGTATTTAAATCAATTTAAATAAAACTGACGGCCCAATTGATATTTGGATCTTTCAGTTAAACGTAGCTTTATCTTATAAACCAAAGCAACACTGACACTGAATCAATGACAACTTCCATTTTTATCAGCCAACCTCTAAATAGTGCTATGTCAAACTACCTCGGAGTGGACATCACTTATATAGTTGACTAATTGCCTCTCTAGTTGTTCCTGGTATATATTCTTGACTTTTCATCAAGCTGAACTTGAAGTGGTTTTCTTACTGTGGTTTTTTCGCGTTCAGTAAGACGCAGACAAATACGTGCTAGAACCAAACCATGATCCGAGTCTAAACATAGGCTCCAGAATGAGCGAGTCTTTTTTCGAGCTTTTCCATTGATGGCTGATGCAATGTGACCTATTTGGGCCCATCATTGAGTCGATTTCGACGTCACCATGTCAGATAATGTTTTCCTTATGCTTAAAGTTAGTGCTTGCTAGAGAGAAACGGTTATCTGAGCATAGCTGCAGCAGGTGATCACCATAATCTGTTCTTCGAGCCTCAATACTATACGATCCACCTGAGTGGCTTTTGTTTTGGTTTATAAATTTAACGCATCGCAGGTAGCAGCTCATTTTAAATGATTCAAGCTTCAGTAATGGATGGTACACGATCAGGGTGACTGGTTAGCTTTGTTTTTCGAAACATCAAACATGTGGAGTCTCTTTTGTTTTACAGCAGTCGACTGATTAGTGATGAACTCAATTTAGATGGACCATTTGTGCATATAATTCTAGAATAACGTGAGAAGACGAAGCCAGTCTCATATTTTTGAGTTCAAGAAATATTTGTAATAACGGAAACGGAGATGGGGCAGCTGTATCGTTACGAATAGGAAAGAGGAGTAAATTCCCGTAAAATGAAGTTCATACAAACGTTCGCGTGTTTGCTTGACAGAGTACGTATTCAACTTATTGAAAATGTAAGTTCATTTAGATTATATATATGGCTAACATAGAAAAACAATCGAAGCATTAAATTAAATTACAAATAAAACATTGATGAAAGGACAACAAAATAAATGCATTGACATTATCCTTTACAATGAGAAAAAGTCATGATTTATTCAACTGGAATATATAAACTTCATTCTACTTTGTGTGTGTCGTTTTCTGTTTTATTAGTGTTGCTGCTATTATTATTATTATTATTATTATTATTATTATTATTATTATTAAAAGTGTTCATTTTCTGCAATTCCTCCTGTAGGAGAACAATACGTCTTCTTATATCATTCTTAAGATATTCATTATTTTCCGTCACCTCTTCATTCTTTTGAATAAGCTTAAACGGAAAATTAATAGATAGGAGAAAAACAAATATACGAACAGTAGTAAAGGCGCAAAGGAACAGTAATCAGTGTTTTTTCGAAGTTTTCAAAACCGACAAAGAATTGTTAGTCTAACCGGTAGGGAATTAAATGCAAATTAACCATACACAATTCCATGTAGTATAGCATTATGTATTATACCTTAGTATGTGTAAAAGCTAGTAATGTCACCTACTCAAATTGAAGTAGCGTTTCAAGCTTGTGACTTATTGATTGGAAATGTCTTGACCATTATTTGGTCGTTTCACAAGTGATTTTTCCCATAGTAGCAGTTAAGGTAAATACACAAACAAGTAAAAAGATGCAGTTAACGTACTTTTAAAATGTAAAACAACCACCTGTATCATTACATCACATCTCTGTTCTGGTAGAATATCAACATTTGTACCGAAAATTCGTTTGGGATGCTTACAGAATGATTTAGTATAATGAAAACAATTTTAAAAAATAAACGTTTATTCAAATTTAAACTTGTTGTATCGAATACTATGTATATTCATGCGGTAATAACAGTTGGACTATCAGTGTAATCTTTGTATAGACTTAATGATGAGCAATAAGCTTAAAATATATGTCATACATATGATGTATTTTCATTGCTGATGATTTGTATCTGATTCTTAACAAATAAACCCAACATGTGTCTACAACAAACTACTGTAATTGTTTTCATTACGAGGTATAATCCAACTTGGACTTCATTAGAATGGTCGTTTTGGATTTACGAAGCAAAGTAATAGTCTTTTGTTCCAAAGCTTTGGATCAGCACCTTAGTAACTTTATACTCATTACTTCAGTTATACGCTAAAATATCATTGTTAAGTAGCAACGAGAATCCTATCACGTGATATACTCTGTCACCAACAAGCAAATAAATATCTTATTTTTACTGCAAGTGGAAAAACTTGAAAAAAGTCAAGTGAACTTTTTATACTCTCATAACTTAAGTAATCAGGAGGACAAAAATAGTCAAGTATCTTTTTAATCATGGAGTACTTCGGAGTGAAAAGTAATAATATGGATAACATTGTTGTTGGGGTAACTACTATAGCAGACTTCCTCCAAAGCTATTTCTATAGTTATCAATTGTGAAATTGAAAAGGATGACGGAACTGTGTAATCCTAACTCCAACGAATAGGAGTGATCGCATCTCCTCACTTTCCTAGTGTTTTGTAGTAAATCATTTACCAAGTGAAGGTTTATGTACTCCGCTTTAAGCTGTACTGTTTGTGTGAAAACCAATTATACTACCCGAACGGCGAAACTTAAGTAGGTAAAGTGGGATGTGAACCTGAGACTTAATAGCTGAAACACAAGGTTTACAGGACCTTTAGGCATTGTAAATATTCAGTACTGAAAGTTTCACATGTTAACTAAATGGGATGGACTCGTAAATAATAAACTCTCAACTTGTACAAAGGTATGGAATAATGAATAATTATTGATAAACCTGGTTAACGATAACTCACTTGAATCCGTATAATAAACCTGCATGTTAGCATCAAACATAAAACAATGAGATTGGAAGCTTCTTTTAGTCCATCTGCTACGCGCCATATACTAAAGAGATGGAATAGCATAAGACTAAGCAGTATAACATTGCTAACATCCTGTGCAGTCCCAGAACAAGCTGCAAGTACAATACCACCGACAACTTCAGTCGTTCCATAAACTCGTCTAATTACATGAGGATTCGGATTCCAACCAGTAAACGAACTAAACGGAAACGTCTTGAACATCCTAATGAAGTTTTTTCTCTGTTAAACAGATTAAAGTTTTTTCTTGAAAACAATTTACCACACTGCGATAAAGCTCATCAGAAAATAATGGACCAAGCTTTAACGTCCCAAAGAATACGAAAAATACTCCTACGGCCACAGAAATTGCAGTTAAAGCAGTACTGGACATTTTGCACGACAATAACGAATGCACTAAATTCTGAATAAGTAGTAAATCTGGAATTTAGAGAAGAAACGTTTATCAGACTTGTGATTTTGATTGAGACTACGACTAACTTTTTAAACAGAAATGATTTCATGCACTAAATTCCCTTTATTAAATTGAAAAGAGAGCAATGATTTGAGCAGAATAACACGAATGTGTTTTATCTAATTTGATTCTTATCAGCTGCTCACACCATTTTCTTTTAGTTCATAATCTTACTTTCAAACGACTGACCTTGACTCGTTTAATCCTTAACTGTTGTTGACGAAAATTACCCACAAAGAAGTCGTGAGTGACCGAACTCAGGCAGTTGTCCCTTGGGCGCTGTGGTCACACTCTCAGGTCACTAAGACCACCCCTGATCCAAATTCCTTTTCAGGTACCTTCAGAAGAGTTTCAGTGTGGGCATCAGGGAAGTGATAATCGCCCTCATACTTCTAACAGCACTCAAGACCACTGTATTCATAATCAATTTTTCTCTTCAATTTTTTATTATATTTACACTAAATTTTCATCAGCTTCACTTCTAGAAAATATATTAACTTATTTGAAAACTAGTTTCCAAGATGATTTAGCTTAACGAAATAAAACTAATTTCTGTCCATTTGCTAGAACTGTTTTTTTTCTTCAAGGAATAATTCCAACATCAGGGAAAATCGCTTGACAAGGAACTCTACTAAAAATGAAACTAAGAATGTCTGGATTTACAAGAAATAGTTCTGTTTCCTTCACCGACATATTGGGTGTTATTTGCTGCTGCAAAACATTTGCAGACGTTTTGCTGACCGTATTACAAATTGTTATCAGAAGGCAGGAAAACCACAGTAGTGTCTATTACGACTCACTTCCCAATTCATGAGTGAAGCAGTGACTTATTCTTTAGAGCACTTGACTAGTGACTATTAATCCCCAGGTGTGAATACAACTCCGCTTTTTGTGTGGGCAGCTGAGTGGTCAATCAGTTACGCGCAACGTAGAGCATAGTATGCGTGTGTACATTGGTCCAATTAGTCATACTCCTGATCACAATGAGATGTAACTTTTTAGGGTTAATTTCAGAATAGTACAGGTAGTAACAGTAGTGGTAATAAAAAATATTAGGCACCAGAGATACCACTCAATAAGATAAAAACTAGTAAAATTTAAAAAATTATAAGAAAATGAGAAGCTTAGAATCTAGGGGGAGACAATGGATGGATGCACCTGCGCCATCCCAAACGATTTTGACTCAACCATTCAAAGTCTCTAACGATAATCACGACGGCCCCAACCAGGTAGTCTACACCTGTTGACACGGCTCAATCTAATTGTCAGTGACTTCGCAGACTGGTCCCAAGT